CGGGGAGTTCAGGGAGGGGAGGGGTGGGCTCAGGTCCAACTGTCTCCTGGTCTCCTCGTACCGTGCCGGGCCCCGATCCAGATGTTGTGCTGCATTCTCTCATCTGGCTCTGGAGGTCAGAGGTGAGGCATGAGGTGAGGCAGGTTTGGTGACCACAAGGTGGTGCAATTCAGACAGAGACGTTTATGATTACCGTATTTTTCCGGACTATAAGTCGCACTATTTTTCATCCTTTGGCTGGGTTTATATATTAAAATATATAATTTGTCATGTTTGTTATTTTAATAATGACAGCCACTAGAGGGCAATCTAGCTGGCTGATGTCGCTTATATTCCGGAGCAACTTCTAGTCTGGAAAATACGGTAGTGTCAGAGATGAAACATCACCTGAGGATCAGAGTTCAACGTATAAAAAGTGTATTTATCATGTATTTAAAGGAAAATACATATTGACACAGAGCATTTAACCCATCAGTGCAACAATGCAGTGATTAACCCCGGCACATGGGGGCAGTGGGCTGCACTTTTTTAGTCCATCTGAAGAGCAGGGGAGTTTTTGTGCTTGATTAAAGCACGACAGTCACCACTAGAGCTGGGATTTGAACCAACGATCCTTCACCTCCTCAAAACAAGGACTTTATTCAGCGAGCGAATGCTTCAGTGACAGTGACTTCTGTGCAGTCTTTTCATACAACAATCATCCTCTTCTTCAGTCATTCTTCCCACTGCAACTGTTGTAAGTTTTCTGCCACTGCTGCGTGAAAAAAAACATTTACAAACTGGCTGAGGCTGTTTCCATGACTGGCACGGAGCTAAAACAAAGAGAGGAGAAGGATCTGGCAGCGGGAAGCGAACCAGTACTTAACCAAAGGCATGGCCTGAAAGAGCAGCAGTATTTATAGAGACATCCTCAAGGAGAGGTTTTCACTCGTCACAAGTTTCACTGTTGACTTAAAAACTCAGCTCTGACTGATCCTCGTCCTCGTTCACTGGATCTTTGTCCGTACCAGGTTTTTTTTTTTACTCCTGTTTTTATTAGTTGTCATCTGTACATGTTACTGTTTTTATTAGTTGTCATCTGTACATCATCACCAATGACTTCATCACCAATGACTTCCTCAGTTCTTATTTTGTTCACATCTTAAATAAAATAGGTTGCGGACTAAGACTTTACCGTATTTTCCGGACTATATGTCACTCCGGAGTATAAGTCGCACCAGCCATAAAGATGCATAATGAGGAAAAAAAAAAACCCGGAGTATAAGTCGCACCAGCCATAAAAATGCGTAATGAAGAAGGAAAACATATATATATAAGTCACTCTGGAGTATAAGTTGCAACAGTGCCGTCTAGTGGCTGTCAATATGAAAATAACGAACATGCAAAATTATATATTTTTATATATAAGTCGCACCTGAGTATAAGTCGCAAACCCAGCCATAGGATGAAAAAAAATTGTGAATAGTCCGGAAAATACGGTAATAAAAATTACATGAGGACAAAATCAACCACCACCAAAAACAACAACAACAACAACAACAACAACCAGCCACTTTCCCAGCATACATTTCTTCAGTGAGATCTCAGGACTGAGGTTTGAAGGTGATAATGTTTTGATTTAGTTTGACTCAGGAGTGAACACTGATGTGAGCTGATAAAAAACCCCCAGAGAACTCCCATCATCCCACTCTCTGACCCTGCATCCTAACTTCTACCCTGGTGGAGAATGGTGTCTTCCTCAGTTTTCCCTGAAGCCCCACGGCTCTGCTTTCAAACCCAATAAATAAACCCTGGTGCCAGACACCAAAGTGCTGATCCACAGAATTAGAAACACAGACTAAACAGCAGTTAGAAATGTGCACTCAAGAATTTCCTCCACATTCAGGGGGAAAACCCCAATTGAGCTGATTGTCTCTCTCTCTCTCTCTCTCTCTCTCACACACACACAAACACACACACACCCATGCATGTGCTGCTGCCACATCCGCAGATCTTTGACAGCTGAACTATTCACGAAGCGCACATTTGTAAAGACAGATTCTGTTGGTGAAAAAAAGGATCAGATAAAAAGACACACGTCGCTCTGCCAACGCTGCACGTCGCCACAGCCCCGTGAAAACGACTGGAAACTATAAAACCAGAGTGTGTGTTGACAGCAGAGTCACTCCCTCCTCCTCTGGAGAAACTCAGCCTAACCCTGCTCTTCATTTCAGAACTTCCCTTGTTGTTATCACACACACGCAAACACTGGTTTTTATGCGTTGTGAGTGCATCAGTTCATGACTCTAATCTGACCCTGATGTCAACCCTAACCTCAAAGGAACTCTTGCATCTCACTCCAAAAATGTCCCCACGGAGTAAAGCGTCCCCACAAATGCTGCTCTACCTGGAGCACACACACGTCAGCCGGCGCCCCTGCAGGCCTGAGCAGGTCCAGCAGATGTGTTCTCCTGTTCCACACGGAGAAGCCCAACTCCAACTATGTTTTTCCTCTGGAGTTACTCAACTTCCAGCTGCTTTGTGTTAAAACAGGCTGGTGCAGATCGAATTCAAAGCTTCTGCTGCGAACAATGCAGCGGTAAAACAGCTCTTACAGACCGCTGTGTGGAGCGGACGGACGCCCGAATACGACTGGAGGGAAAAACAGAAGAAATAAAGCTTCTTAAAATGGTTTTCTTGTTTTTTTTTCACAACTTTTGTCCTGACTGCAATCATTTTAGTTTGTAGTTTCTAGGATAAAATTTTATATATATAAGTATGTGTATATGTGTGGATATTATATATATATATAGACACACACACACTGTATTTTCCGCACTATAAGTCACACCAGCCAAAAAAATGCATAACAAAGAAGAAAAAAAAAACATACAGTGGCTCCAGAGCCCTCTAGTGGCTGTCAGTGTGAAATTATATATTTTATTATATAAGTCGTAAACCTAGCCAAAGGATGAAAGAAATGAAAACTTATAGATCGGAAAATACGATACATGCTGCTTCATTTCTAAATGAATAAAACAAAACAAAACAAGCAAGAACCTAAACAAACTTGTTGAATTTTTTTTTTTTTTTTTGACTACTCTCTTCACCCACTCTGGTGAAGCGACTCTTGGGTTTTTCTGACCCATCTGTGAAACATTAACACCAGACACACAGGAGCAGCGGGCTTCAGTTTAAGACCCTGTGGGGGGCAGTGCAGAGTTTCAGCTCGTAGGCTGGACGCATGAACAAGGACTTCACGGCAAGACTGATCAAAATGTCCACGAAGGACGAACAGTCGGCACGGAGGCTCCTATTGGACGGCCACGCTGTCAGTCAATGACGGCTCAGAAGGCGGAGGAGAGATGAGGAAATGAATGGATGAAGGAAGGAAGGAAGGAAGGGAGGAAGGAAAGAAGGAAAGAAGGAAAGAAGGAAGGAAGGGAGGAAGAAGGAAAGGAAGGAAGGGAGTAAGGAAAGAAGAAAGAAAGTGAGGAAGGAAATAAGGAAGGAAGAAAGGAAGGAGGGGAGTAAGGAAAGAAGGAAGGAAGAGAAGAAGAAAGGAGGAAGGAAGAAAGAAAAGAAGGAAGGAGGGAAGAAAGGAAGGAGGGGAGAAAGGAAAGAAGAATGAAAGTGAGGAAGAAAATAAGGAAGGAAGAAAGAAAAGAAGGAAGGAAGGAAGAAAACAGGAAGGAAGGAAGAAAAGAAGAAAGGCAGGAAGGAAGAAAAGAAGAAAGGCAGGAAGGAAGAAAAGAAGAAAGGAAGGAAGGAAGAAAAAAGGAAGGAAGTGAGCAGCAGACTTTTCTCCTTTCATTCATAAAAAGTCCCATTATCATCATAAGTATTTTTTCTGGACTAATCCTTAATAATTCCACTCCACTCTCATGTTGATCTGGAGCTGAGATCAAACCTGTACTTCACAGTATGTGTGGCTGCAGCGGTGAAAGTACAACTGTAGATATAATAGTACACAGTACTACAGTAAAACACTGTCATTCACTACAGAGCTCAGGGGGGAGGAAGGAAGGAGGGAAGAGAGTGAGTGAGGGTGAGAGTATGAGCATTTATAACTTCCTGGAGAATCACTGGAGACACACACACACACACACACACACAGAGAGAGAGAGAAACACAAACCACAGAAGGTTGATTTCAGCAGTGAGAAATGTGCTGACCTGCACCAACAGGAGCCAAGGGCAACAAAACACTAAATACAAACGCTCCTCTCTGAGACGGTACTTTCCCTTCACCCAGCACTCGTGTTAAAACAGAACGCCTGTGCCTGTGCTTGTCAGTGCGTGTGTGTGAGTGTCTCTGCGTGTGTGCGTGTCCATGCTTTTGCAGAAGACACACAAACAAAATAAAACCGTGTTGATTCCTGGACTTTGCCGAGGTTTTTTGTTTTGTTGTTGTTGTGTTTTTTTTCCAAATCTGCGTCAGTGATTAGTCATGTTTTCAGATCTCTGCAGGCTGAGCCCAGATGTTACTGTAACAGAAGCCTGAGTTGTGATCATGGGGAAACACACACACACACACACACACACATTAAATTGTAAACATCGACGGTTTCAGCGTGTTCATAATAAGGTTCGCGGTTCACGTGTTCTGCCCTCCGACCGTGAACAGTTTCACCACACGCTGCACAACATGACTCCAATGAACAGCAGGGGGCGTGCGCCACGTCTTTGGCCACCCCTGTTGTTTAATGTTTTACCCGACAACAGGACAGAAGGTGAACTGTTCCAACGTAACTGATGCAAAACTCTGACTGGAGTTCCCTTTAGAACAGGAAACAAAAACTAAACTTTAAAAAAATAAAAAATAATACAGTTACAAATACACTTCAACTCTAGTCTGACAGCGTGACGCGAATTTGACATCATTATTGCACCAAACGGGGCCATAACCCACAGGTTGAAAACTTTTCTTTCCACTGAAATATAGATGTTTAATTTCCAAAAAAAACTAAAACTAATACATCTATTATTTATAAATTCATCCGCTTTTTCGACTGTTGTGTGTGTTTTGTTTTATAAACAACTGTATTTAGAGCATATATATATATTTATATATATATATATATACAGTATATATACTCACAGTACTGTGGTCACGTACTGCTGAACAGTGGCCTCACAGAGCTGTCATTCACTGCTTTCACTTCCTCTGACAGACACCACATTAGGAATTATCAGTGTGTGTGTGTGTGTGTGTGTGTATACGGGAAAATGAAGCCAGTTTTCGTCACCGTCTTGACTGAAGATGTCAGTTTTTTATCCTATTGATTATATATATTCAATATATATTTGGAGGGAGGGTAAACTTCCATGATAATACATGGTTCATTCTGGAGTTGGTGGTGAATTTGTATCTTTCTTTTTTGCTTTAGCTTTACTACGTAACCATAGTTACCATGTGTTTCTGGGCTGTAGTCAATGGAATGAGTTGATTTTTGTCCAATTCACTCTGCGATATCTTAAATACTTAGAGCTAAACTTTAACCTGACACCAGTTTTACTTATGTTATTTAAAAACGGAATGAGGGTTGCTGGTTCAAATCCCATACCTTATTCCACCTTGACTTGAGTGAGTGTCTGGTCCTCACCTGCAGGGTGTCCTGGATCTGGCTCAGCTGCTGCCTCAGCACCTGTTTCTGGTGGAAGCTGAAGGCCGGGTGGTTGGAGGCCATGGTGAAGAGCAGCAGGAACTGCTCCTCGGTTCTCCCGTCGTTCAGCGTCAGCCCGTAGTTGTTGATCACCGTGTCCGTGTGCGTCAAGGTCCGGTACAGAACCGCCGCCGCCTCCCGGTTGTCCGAGCCGAGCAGGGCCAGGGAAACCAGCAGTTTGCTGCGCACCACCTCGTCCGTGATGTTGGTGAGGCCCGACAGATCCGCGGAGTTGTTGGCTTTGATCTCCGCATCCCGCAGAGAGTGGTAGTCCTTGCGGGCCAGATCCTCCAGACAGGAGCCCAGGAAGCGGAGCTCGATGGGGACGCAGAGATCCAGCAGCCCGCACAGGAACTCGGCTCTCTGGGCTGAGGTGAGGGAGGAGAACCAGCGGTACACCCCCTCCCTCTGGACACAGCTGCGGCTCTCTACCATCCTCATGCATGCATCTGCCCCGAAGGTTCTGGGATTGTAGTTTTGTAGTTTGTTTTTTTTAAAGGCAAAAGTGAGAGGAAAGTTGACAACAAAGAGTGTGCGCGACGCGTGCGTACGTGCGTGCGTGCGTAATTACGCGTGAGCAGCGAGCGCGGCTCAAGTGGCCATGAAGTCTGAGCCTCTTTGTCAACTTTCCGAGTTCACGCTCGGACTGTTCCTGTGTCCAAACACACACATAGTCAAGTCAAAGACGAACAGACGTCGTTTCCTCCGGTGGAGACGAACACCAGGTCCCGGTCCACACACTCTCTCTCTCTCCCCGAGTGTTTTTTCCTTCGGCACGCAGCACGGAAGTCAGGAGTTCCTCCACCGTGTCCTCCTCCGCCGCCGGTCGGACCGCAGCCTCCCTGGAGGCGCAGAAATAACTCTTCCCCCGGACTTTAGCAGAAAATGAAAACTCTCAATTACTCGCAGACTCGTCTTTTTCTGGGGTTCGGAGCCGCCCATGCACTCTCTGTCTCTGTTGCCCCGCACTGGCGCTGCACAACAAGGCTTTTCCTGTCGAGTCGCTCCTTCGTCCTCATGGTTTCCCTAGAACTTGCGCATTAGAGGAGACTCCGGGAGCGGAGCCACAGCGTCTCCGGCGGCCGCACGACCGCGCTGTGCCTCACATCAAAAGTTTAAAAACAAACCGAGCGTGGCCTGAAGAACCGTCTGCCGCTGCTGGGAATACCATCACAAGGGTTCTGCAGACATTATCTCACCGGAGAGCCGCAAAGCTGCCGCGAGCCAGTCATATCCTCCAACGTCCACCGCTGATTTTAGCATTTAATTTTTTAAAAAAAGAAAGAAAAGTCAATGTTCGTTCTACTTCCTGCCATAAGTCTTGAAGTCGACCAGTTCAAAAACAGCTGTGTTTTAAAGCTTTCCCAACTTTACAGGCATAGAAAAAAAAAGAAAGAAAGAAAGAAAAAAACGGTATGAAGGAATGGTCTGTTCTGATTGGACGAGAGTCGAATCTGTAGTCGGTATCTCTTCTGTGATTGACGCAGAGGAAACGTTCCTCTCTCGATGGCTCACGTCGTTTTCTCATGCGCTCATGCATAACTGCGTGGATCAGGGTCCACTTTAAAGTGACAGAAACACGCGGGGCAGAATGTTCTCGTCGTCGGTTAAACTGCAGCGTCGTAACGAACGCTGTCGATTAGTCGAGATCTGTTTAGATAGGGGGAAAAAATCTATGACGTCATAGATGTTTTTTTAGATGAGGGTTCAACTCCTTTCCTTACAGAAGTGTGTTCTGTGCTGTTACTTATTAATGGTACTGTATGAGCACTTTATAAGGTGTAATTTACAGTCAGATCCACAAGATGGCGCCCCCTGACCGTGTCACAGCTGGTTCTCGTTACTGGTGTGTTTGCTGTTGCATCTGGCGTCATGTGACCGCAGTTGTTTTTTTCCACACAGATTATGAAACAATAAAAAAAAGAAGAAATAACAGAGCGGTTAGTTGATTAAACCGATGACTGATACATTACTGAAACAATCACTATTAAAGGAGAGCGGTTAGTTGATTAAACCGATGACATTAAAAAACTAAAAACATCACTGTTTTCAATAAATACCGAATCATGTTTGATTTACTTTTTATATAAAGAAACTGTTTTTCTTTTTTTGCTTCTTACATGAGAATAAATTGCGGTTCTTCGTATAAAACCATAGGTTTGTGAAGGAACTGAGACCTGATTGGACGATTAAAAAAAAAAACATTTAAAAGAATCCTTTAGCGACTGCATTTTAGTTCTTTCTGTCAAATGTTTCTTCATCACTTCAGTTCTGGGCCTCCCTCTCTCTCTCCCTCCCTCTCTCCCCCCTCTTCCTCATCTGTTCACGCTCTCATTGACATCATTGGTCTCCAGAGATAAACCACGCCCCTAATTATTGAACCACGCCCCAACAATTGACGTGCAGCGGTCACATCAGGAAGCAGAAAAATCAAGTTACGTTGCTATAGTTACCACGACCAGAGTCCCAGTATGCATCTCTCTCTCTCTCTCTCTCTCTCTCACTCACACATACACACACAGAAACATGTGCAGTGACACCAACAAACCGAACATTTCACCCAAGTTCAAGTGCATAACAGAATGAATCACTGACCTTGGAGCAGACACAGGTGTTTGTCGATCTTCGCACCAACTCCCTGGAAAATGGAGAAAATGTGTAAATTTGATCCAGAGAAGCTAAAGCTAACGGTCCTATGGGGAAAAAAAAGAAGGAATTCTTATTCTAATTCAACATTCAAGGTCTTTCTGATACCGGAAAACTTTTTTTTACCCACTTTTACTTGTGTTTAAAAAAAAAAAATAAAAATAAAAAAATCAAATCTCCATTATTGTGACAACTCTGAATGTAAATGTCACACATTTCACGTGTTGTTGTTTTTTTTGAAACACCACTAATTTCCGACCCCCAACACACACACAGCCAGACATAGTAAAAGACAGAGATTTAGAGGAAAGAAATGAGTCGTGAGTCGTCGTTTTGTTTCCAACACTTTTCATTTTCTCCACAAAAACTCAAAAAACAAAACAGAATAATTCCTTTAAAGAAGGAAAGAAAGAAAGAAAGAAGGAAAGAAAGAAGGAAAGAAAGAAAGAAGGCAGAGTAAACTATAGAGAGCTTGGCATGCTGTAGCATGCTGCAGACTATCGGGGCGGTGCAGGGTATCGTCACCAGGCTGATGGCACACAGCAGAGCTTTTTAGACCTGTTTTTGTCTGGGACCCAAAAATAAAAATATAAAAATACATACGGTTCTGCCTCTCAGGTTGCAGGCACATAAAACTGAGCTCTTGTAATAATGCGGT